AGAACTTTATTTTAAATTCTAGTGTGGAAAGTTTCCAAAGATATGAAATATGCCAAATTTTGGATTAGTGTGTGTAAAATGATGATGGTGGAGCTGGAACAAGCTGATACCCAACACTTAACTTTAAGTAACCCCTAACAGTATGTAAATATTTAATAAATGGTTTATAACACACTATAATGCAGTTGTGAACACATATAAGGAGATTGTGTGCAAGTGTTTATTAATCCTAATTTATCCTATGAATATTTATATTATTGCAGCTGTAGTTTACTATATTGCTATTTATTATATATTTATTCTGCCTAAACTTAAGGAGGTATAGATGTTGACAAATACATTAATAAACACGTGTGTTATAAAACATTAATTAAATGTTTATGAATACTGCTTATGAATACTAAATTATTAGGGGGTTATTTTTTTCCCAGAGAGGGGACATAGAGATGGAGAAGTGGATGTTAAGAATCATCTTAATAAAGACTTATAATGACAGGAAATGCCAGATGTGTTCAGCTAACCTGTTCAGTCGCTGTGAAACTTCAGCTTGTGTTGTGTATTTACCTCTTCCAGTGTGGCTGGACATATCCCTGAGTTTTTGGTCCTTGCTCCACCAGCTGAACGTGACACTCTCCTCCTCCACGCTGTCCCAGTTAAAGTGTTTTTACTCCCCGTCCTGCCTCGTCTGGCATGAGTGTGCTCCTGAGCACAGTGTGGACCGCACGCTGCAGGAGAACAGTGGTTTATGAAACTGGCTGTTTGTCATATGTGACGCCTCTGAGCTCGTACAGAACAAATACTCAGCTGGTGTTCACAGTGGCTCACTGTGTGTCACTACAGCTAAGATACTGTCTTCAGATCACCTGCACAGGTCTGTTTATCAGTGAGACAGGCTGTGGACAGCAGAAGAGATCATTTAACTGTATACAGAACAGGCCTGTGTGTCTGTATTTGTGTAGAAATACTAGGATTTAATAATCAGTATTTGTAAAACATGAGAGAACTTCTTTCCCTTCGGCCAACACAGATGGCTGCTTCGGTTATACATAAAATTTGCCTTCATTAACCGCTTTGTAATTAGGATTGACTGGGTTCATTAATCACTTTATAATTATTAGAACCTGAAAGTACATATTTTATTTTGGGTCTTAAACAGAAGATTTGAGGAGTAAAATGTAGATTTTGTGTGAGTGGAAAAAGTTTGAGGAGATAAAATCAATATTCAGGATTGTGGTAAAAAAAATACAGATTATTTTAGCTTAAATAACTAATAAATGAAAACAAACAAAAATAACCCTAATCAAATATTATGAGTGCAATCACGATGTATCAGTCGAAACATAAAATAAAGCACTTTTCTTGTGGCTGATTTGTTGAACAGGAATGAAATTAAAAAGACCTGAGAAGCAACACAGATTGAGTTTAAGAGATGAGACAAATATAATTAGGATCTCAGCTCTTAAGTAAAGATACTAAATGTGTTGTAAATGTGGTCGCTGGCAGTTGTCCATATGTAAGCCTTGTTTACAGGCTCCATCTGCTTAGCTGCTGCACACTTCTCCTCTGCTGGATGAACTTGAGCTCCATGAAGTTCACAGTAATAAGAGCGAGACGTGTGATATATTGTGTAAAATAAGACAGAGGCAGCAACTTCAGACTCAGAGGCAGGACTGCAATTAGTGGGATAATGTGATGTTTGGTTTTTAGAAAAGTAACACTGGAAAAAACTGGAGAAATCACACAAAAATGATTCATTTCACTATGTTTAATTGTCATTGAAGCTGTCAGGTGTTGTTGTGTCCTGCTGGGTGGACATGTTAAAATTAACCAAATAATTAGCAGCCTGTCACACACTGTTAGATACCTGTAAGATGTGATGATTGACAACATAAGTTCAGACGTTTGACCCAAACTTATGTTGGTTTAATAACATTTTACACTGTTGCTACTAGATGAACAATGAATCCCATCACCAGGTTTAATTACATTTTGAATGTTTGTATGTGGATTAACTTAATTGTCACTAATACAGGGAGTTGGAAATGTAGTGTAATGTAAAATTTAATTTCAACTTTTTGTTGAATGTGTGTGTTTTATTTTTATTCTTATTGTAACACGACCGTTTCCAAGTTGTCTCCTATCTATAATAATGTATAACATTTTAAACAATATCAATGTATGATATCAATATTGATAGAAACATAAAAGCAGCTGGTTAGAATAATATTTAAAAAATTACACATTTTAAAATGCGAGGTGAAATAATTTCACTTCTTGAAATAAAATAAAAAATAGAAGAATTACGTAATTATTAAAACAAAACAACACAATTCTGAGTCATTTTTAAATAACTATTGATTGATTGCGTTGAGGCTGATTTTGTGGGACATGAAAAACAAGGCAGGAGAGGAAACAAAGTAACTTCCATTACTTTAATATATAATTGTATGGCTCTTGATGAGTATATTGTAACTATATAGACTTTATAATGTTATTTTAGTTTACAACAACAGTTTGAATTATTAATATTCTTTTGGAGCAATGCATTCCTGCGGGACTTTTGTTCTTATCCTCGGTGTTTACAGACATGTGTAGTTTATTTTCCAACAATCAACATCTCATGTTCACAGTCTCTCATTTTATCTTGTGAAGTAAAATTAATTTAAGAGCCTCGTTTATGTCTAGAGCTTTAATTCTAAAGGTGAGTTTTTTTTATTCGGCTCTGTATTAATTATGTTTCTGACATTATTTTTTTACTTCTTTTTGTCATTTCACAGTGTTTAGTTTTTCTACATAATATTTTAGTAATCAAAACTACAGCTTATATATAGCCTGTAATTCGGACCCAAGCACAAAGGTTCATTTTTGGGACCACATGTGAAGCTGCATCGGTGAAAATGAAAACACAACCTGCGATTCATCTCAACTGTCCAGCTCTTTCTGCGCAATGACGACTCTTTGATGATTATTATTACTGTTCTTCCACAAACTTTACGCTTACCTGAACCTGGTGGTCACATCTTTACACCATCATCTCAATAACCAGCTCTCATTATTCTGCCTCATATGTCTGTGTCACCAAATCAGAGCGACATTAAGCCTCCAGTAGTGTCTCCATCGTCTTTTTTGTGGGGATGTTTTAAGTCTCCTCTGTTTCGTTTTCCACCTCGCAGGACTGTGTATTATTAGGCTAATTGTTCCCGATATGCACACATCAAATAATAACACAACTGGAGGGGTCGGAATGAAGAGGGCTTACCTTTCAACGACGCAGCTGAAAATACAAAAACGTCCCCCGAGCAGAGATTCCGATATTATCCAAATGACGGGACTCTGATAGTGTAACACGGTGTGTGTCCGGGGCTGCTGTGCTGTTGTGTTGTGTTGTGCGCTGCCAACACTCGGCCAGGTTTTATCCAACCGGGGCTGCGCAGAGGACGGAGCCCTGCAGCCATTGGAGGAGGAGGAGGGGAGAGGAAGGAGGAGGTGTGGTTTTATGGAAAAGAGAAGAGAAAGCACCCCCTTTCACACTAGAAAAAAAAAAAGACAGGATAACTGACCCTGTGTTTTGATGGCATTACACCCACTGAGTGACTGTACGGAAACACTTGTCAAGGAGACGGCTTGTTTCCATTCACCTCCAGCGACAGCGCCGCTTTAATTAGACTGCGTGCGTAAAGGCATGCGGGTCCGATCCCGACGGTCTGTGCGCCGCGTTCACACACAATTTAGTGGTTGATTTGCTGCAATCAGTCACAGTTTCTCCCTGACAGGTAGACTACACACCTGACTGAGGAACAGACCGGAAATCTAGCGCAAAAGGTGAATCACTGACCCTCAAACACGCTTCCAAACTTTCTGCTAAACACTCTGGTGGGAAATAGACAGAAGACTGAAGTAGATCACTAAAGGTGTAAGAGCAGATTTGACCTACACAGTGTGATCTTCATCGCCGAGTTATTATTGTTTCCCGGCTTATACAGTTCCATTATAAATCTCTATGTTTCATTTATTATCCGTGAATTTATTTGTCCTGTAAGGAAAGTACATATATTTTCTCCTCCTCTGTCTTTTGTTCAAATAAGCCAAAACACCTGGAATAAGGCAATAACTAAATCTCAAGTCAGGTGACTGTTTTCTTCTGGCCCAGCTACACCTCTGGGTGCTTTGTTTGGTAAAATTAGACTGGTTTGGAATCTAATGGCACTGTAGCCTAAAAAATAATAATATAGCCCAAAAAAATCACATTTGTTCCGAGCTATTATAGTTAAACCACTATAGCTCATATTGCTCCTTTCTTCTTGAAATTCATCTTGGAAGTTAAATGAGATTAAAGCACGACAGAGGATGAGCTTCTCTGCCTCGATCGGCCAGATAACGTAAAATAAAGGGGTAAAAAAACAGCTATCTCACCTCATATTTGCCCTTGAGTTGTATGCATATCTATGTCAGCCTGAGAAGATGTGAATGTGTCACTATTGGAGTAGATTTCTGTGCTTTTTTGC